ACAGCTTCAGGTGTCTGAGGGGTCTGTGCAATCCTGCCTCCTGGCAGAGCCCCAGGCAGGTGGAAGGGGGTGTTAACGAACCATGCTAATGTTTCCTCTGTACAGAATAAGGTCATACTGGGAAGCAGCCAGGAACAGGGACACAGAATAGGTGAAGCTGCAGGAACTGGGGCTGGGCTGGAGGGGCTGGGAAGGGACCAGGAAGATGGCAGGCAGAGCATCCCTTCCTACTTCCTGTGGGTGTTTTTCTTAGGAGCAAGTGCCCTGAGGCCTCCTACTCTGTCCCTCCAGATCAATGGGGTACCCAGCCAGGACATGTCCTTGGCTGAAACCCAGCAGCTCATTGAGCAAACTGAGGGAATCCTGACACTGCTCATCCTCCGTGACCACCGGCAGTTCCTGGTCAGCATCCCTGATGTTGACAGCCAGAGTGACAGCTCCCAGATGGATGGTGAGGAGACACGGTGGCAGGGCCAGGGTCAGATACAAGGCACAGGGGCTGCATGGCCACTGATGCATCTCCCCTCCTGTGGCTGCAGATATCTCAGACATCGACTCTGAGCTGTCCAACCCGCCATCTCCATTGGTCTCCCCACGACCTCCAGCTGCTGCCAGGACAAATTCATCGTAAGGCCCATGTACCCATGAGCCCCTCTGTCCCCTGGCAGATCCTGTTGTGTTCTCCACCTGTCTGGAAATGCTGGTTCTCCATTCCTAACCCGATATCCCCGGAGCTGGCCATTCCCAGCTTGCTCTGCTGTCTCCACTGCCCGTGTGTCCTGACTAAATCCTGTTTGACCTTGTTCCAGGGAGAGGAGACGATCGAAAAGGGAGCCTGTGGCTGAGGTGACTGTAGCTGATGCTCAGAGCCCAGGTGAGTGGACTGGCCACTGAAGGGGCTCCAGGCTCTCCGGTGCATCTCCACTGCCCAAAGCCTTAGCAGAGCCATGCCAGGGCTCCCTGTGCCTTGGCACAGCCACTCCTGCTCCTAAACCAGCTCTTCTTCCTGCAGACCTTCTGGAAGCTGTGGAGTGGGATGGCCACAGCCCCACTGCCCAAGCTGCCCACAAGGATGGGTATGTCTGCAAGAGGCAGGGGCAAATGTCTGGGGGACATGAGGAGCTGCTGTGTGATAGGGTCAGCGCCTCCCTGTCCTGTCCTTGCATGTGTGTCCCAGCACCACTGGGTTGACTGCACTTCCCTGTGGCAGGTACAGCACCAACTTCAGGATCGTGCGGTTTGTGAAGGCCAAGAGTGTGGGGCTGCGGCTGACAGGTGGGAACGACGTGGGCATCTTTGTGTCGAGCGTGCAGGAGGGAAGCCTAGCTGACAGCCAGGGTGTTCGGGAAGGTGACCAGATCCTGCAGGTACCTGAAGCTGAAAATGCTCCATATGCTGCTGCACCTGGACTGGCCCCAGCCCTTTTGGGTCCAATATCTCCCCAGGGTATCACCTCCAAGGTTACAGGGACCAATTCCCTCTCCCACACTGCCCTGGGCACTGCTGTCCCTAGGGCCCCTGCTGGTGCCCATGCCTTCTGTCCTGCTGGCAGACCATGTCCAAGTGCTTTTCTGTGGCAGGTGAATGACACGAGTTTCCAGAACCTGACCCGTGAAGAAGCTGTGGAACATCTCATGGCCCTGCCCCCAGGCGAGGAGGTCGCGCTGTGGACTCAGAGCAAGCAGGACAGTGAGTGGTGACCAGGCTCATCCTGGGCTTGTGCCTTTCCACCCTCTGTCTCTCCTGGGCAAGCATCACACCTGCTGGACTTGCCACGGCCCTTCCTGTCCCTGCAGGGTGGTCTTTCTTCCCCCCTCCTCCTCCTCCTCCAGAGAGCGGATGGGAGGGGACTAGACCATCCCAGCCCTGTTTGTGCCTCGGCTTCCTGGAGCACAGGGGCTTTCTGCCACCACTGCTCAACCTGGAGGGGCCAATGTGCTGGGCAGTCAGATTCTATTGTCCCCAGCATGCCTGAGAGTACCATGGAAGGAAAAGGTATCCCCAGTACCCTCCTTAGCAGCAAGGGCTACTATGGAGCCTCCCAGCCAGCCTAGTGCCTTCCCAAATCTCTCCAGCCTCTTCTTCCTCAGCCACCTCTTTCCCTGATGGTCCCTCTTGCCCTGGGCTTCAGTTTACAGGAAGATGATCTTGTCCAACGTGGGTGACTCGTTCTATATCCGGACACACTTTGACTTTGAGAAGGACACGCCATCAGGGCTCAGCTTTGTCCGTGGGGATGTGTTCCATGTGCTGGACACCATGTACCGGGGCAGGATGGGGAACTGGCTGGCTGTGCGCATCGGCAGGGACCTGCAGGAGCAGGAAAAGGGCATCATCCCCAACCGGAGCAGGTAGGGATGGAGCCAGGAACAGCCCCTAGACAAGCAGAGCCAGAGAAGGCTCCCAAGTGAGCTGGGGAGATGGATGGTAGGCTCAGTGAAAGACAGGGCAAGGGCTTGTGGGACAGTGGTGGGAAGCGTGAGCTGGTAAAATCCCTTCTCAGGGTGGTGGGGCAACTGACAGTCAAATTCTCCAAAGTCCCAGAGACAGAAGTCTACCACAGCCTCACCTGGCTGTGCCACCGAGCAGGGGTGCCAGCTTCTCCTGACCTGGTCCTCAAACCCAGAGGCTGCAGGTCCTGAGCCCTCTCCTCTCCCAGGGCCGAGCAGATTGCCAGCCTGGAGTCAGTGCTGAAAGCCTCATCTGGTGCCAACGCCTCTGGGGCAAGGGCCGAGTTTTGGAAGCTGCGGGGCTTGCGGGGAGCCAAGAAGATGCTGCGGAAGAGCCGGGAGGACCTGTCTGCCCTCACAAAGCAGGGGCACTACCCACCATATGAGAGGGTGGTCCTCAAGGAAGGTGGGCACCAGGACAGCCTGACCCACCTTGGGGACATTGGTCCTGGGGCTGCCCTGCTGTGGATGCTGATGGGCCTCCCTCTCCTGGGAGAAGTTGCAGGCCTGTGGGCACCATGAGGAGCAGGGCTGGGTGCTTGGATGCTGGGAGCTCTTCCCTTGCCCCCCAGCCACCATGAACACCTCTGTCCTCCCACAGCCAGCTTCAAGCGGCCAGTGGTGATCCTGGGCCCCATCGCAGACATTGCTGTGCAGAAGCTGAGCAGGGAGCTGCCTGAGCTGTTTGAAATTGCCCGTAAGTGCTCCCACGCTGGGGAGAAAATGATATCCAGCAGCCAGACCCTGTGAGAGTTCCTTACCTTTGGCTCCCTCCCTATGACACCCCAACACTTTCCTGGGCTCATTCGCCCTCCCCCCTGCTCTCCCTGAGGGACACAGCCCTGGGGCCGGGTATGGCCATGCCCAGGCTGGGGCTGTTGGAGCTGCAGCCCCTCTCATGCCCCATCTCTGTGTCCTGCAGCGAGTGTGCCCCGAGATGGGGCATCGTCCAAGGTCATCAAGCTGGATTCGGTGCGGCAGATCGCAGAAAAGGTGAGACCTTTCCCGTGTCCTTGGAGTCAGCTGGGGCCTGTGGAAAGCCCATGGTCCCCACCCCTGCTCCCAGCAGGGCTGATGGCTGTGCCCTGCCCCAGAACAAGCACGCCTTGCTGGACATCACGCCCTCAGCTGTGGAGCGCCTCAATTATGTGCAGTACTACCCAGTGGTGGTGTTCTGTGAGCCTGAGAGCCGGCAGGGCATCAAAGCCATGCGGCAGTGGCTGGCGCCTGACTCCAGGAAGAGCTCCCGGCGCCTGTATGCCCAGGCCAACAAGATGAAGAAATACTGCAGCCACCTCTTCACGGCCACCATCAGCCTCAGTGGCAGCGGCAATGCCTGGTACGAGCAGATCCAGGACATCGTAAGGACACAGCAAAGCCAGCCTGTCTGGACAACAGCAGAGCAGGTATGGGCATGGGCTCTCTGTGGCAAGGCTTGGCCTCCTGGGGCTCCAACCAGGCAGGTGATGGGGCTGCACATGGTCCCCCTGGCTGGGGTCTCATGTCTCTGTCATCCCCACCCCTCAGGCAGATGTAGCACCTGAGGACAGTCTGTACCTGCTGAACCCTCCAAGCTCAGTGGCCTCAGGCTACCTGACATGTGACAGCCATGCCAACAGCGACTATGACGACACAGATGGGGAGGCAGGCGCTTATACTGACGGTGAGGCAGAGGATGCCTATGACCAGCCCGGGCTGGCACGTTCCTCTGAGCCAGCACAGCTGGCCCCGAGCCATGGCCTGGACTCCTCCGAGCCAACACAGCTGGCTCCAAGCCACAGCCAGCGTGAACAGGTGTGTTGTCCCAGACTGGTACAAGAGCCTAGTGGGGCAGAAGAGGGTGGCATAGTGCCTGGCTCTGGAGTGTAATTCCCATCCTCGTGGCACAGGCAGGGTGTCACCTCTGGCTGCTGCAGGGTCCATGTCCTGCTCTGGGTGTCCAGGGGCAAATGCCCCAGGCTGGGGCAAAGCCCCTGCCCTGCCCCTGACCTCTCCCATCTCTTCTTCCCCAGGTGCCTGAACGGCCACAGCAGGGCAGGCGCTATGACAGCATCAGGTACCCTGCCCAGGGGTGGGGATGGCAACCACCCAAGGCTGGGGACAGTCCCAGAAGGGCACTGTTCCTGTCACACAGAGCCATCACCACCCTTCTGTCCCCCAGGGAATATGAGCATGAGGCAGTGAGGAGGAGGTTCACACGGGCCAGGGATGACTCGGACCAGGATGAAGGCTACGAGTGGGGCCCAGCCACAGATGTATAGTGGCACTGCTGGCCTGTCCCTCTGGACCCTGCACAACAGCTCAGGTTGTACCCCTGTGGCCAGGCTGGGCTGGGCCAAATCCAGCTATACCCTACATCACCAAGTGCCTGCACTACCATGTGCCTCCTTCCCTTTTGGCCACAGCCACTGCTACTGGAATAAAAGGGATGTTTGGATCAGGATGGGCTGTTTCTGGGGGTGCAGGATGGCAGAATACAGGGCCTTGCTGGGACCCACATACCTCCCTGGCTGGTGGCCCTGCGTACAATGAAGCATCACAGGGGGAATTGGGGCCTGGCACCACTGCAGACCTGGGACATGCCCCCCAGAGCTGAGCATTCACTGCTGCAGTTCCCTGGCCACTCCTCAAATGCAGCTTCATGTATTTCCAAAAATTTTTATTTTTAGAGCAACCAAGCACACAGGCACAGCCAGGTCAGCACTGCTGCAGCTCTGGGAGCCCAGAGAGCTGCTGACAAAAAGGCTCACAGCCCCAAGCTCCCAGGATGTGGGGCTGGGCAATGCCATATTTCTTCCCTTTTGCTGCTCAAAGGGTTGTGGCTCTGGGCTGGGCTGTGCATGCAGAGCAATGCAAGGCAGCACCAGGTAAAAGCTCAGGCAGGTTCCCAGCTTGGTGCAATGTGTCTAATGGACAGTTTGCACCCCAACAGGCCTCTGGCCAAGCCACGGGAGAAGACAAGGTGCCAAGAGTGCTTCTGCCCTTAAGGCTGAGTCTGAGAGCTGCTGGGTATCCCTCAGGGGTGCCAGTGTGCACCCACACATGGTTCTGCAGGGTCAGTGCTGCTCTGGGGCTGTACTGGCTGAGCTCTGGAGTTGAGCTGCATGCACCATCCCCATCTTGGGAAAGGCACCATTGGTGAGTGTAAAAGTACAACAGTCAGGGACTGGCTGGGAGGCACTTTCACATAGGGCCCCCTCTGCTCCCACTAGCACAATGCCAAGGCAAGGGACCCTGTGCAGCATCAGAACAGGCACTGTGCAGGCACTGTAAGGTGGGCAGAGGTGACTGGAGGAATAGAGGTGCCCAAAGCATGGCACCACAGGCCTTGATGCTGCTCAGGCTGGGTATTGTCCCACTGTGTCCTGAGTAAAAACAAAGGAGGTGCAGACTTAGATCCTGCTGAGGGCTCTGATGCAGGGCTGGGGCAGAAGGCAGAGCCAGTCCTGCCCCTCTGCAGTCCTGGGCTTGCTTGTGCCTGCCCCAGGCATCGTGGCTCAGAGGAAGATGGGCTGCTCTTGCCCCGTCAGCAGACGGTACGTGGAGGCAGGCATGGTCTTGATGTGTACCTAGGCAGAGAGGTGCAAATCAGAGGCCCCAGCCCAGGCTGGAGAGTGCTGGTGCACAGCTCTGAGCCCAGCTACTCTGTGGGGGCCCAGCTCACCTCACTGACCGCCTCGGTGAGGATCTGGATGATCCTCTCGTGCGCCATGGCCACCACGCTCTGCCCGTTGATCTCAATGATGCGGTGCCCCACGCGGATGCCACCCCGCTCCGCGATGCCCCCACGCATCAGGCTGCAGATCTGGGAGTGGGGAGTGCTGTGAGAGCAGGGCTGTGCCCACAGCCCAGCCCTGTGTCACCACTGCTCTGAACCCTCACAGCCCTGTAGGCTCCCAGCAAGAGCTCTTGCCTGGGGTACACCCCTCCTCCAGCCCCTGGGCACACAGTGAGGGCAAGGATGTCCCAGTGCATAGCTGCCACCAGACTGATGTGCTGAGCTGGGGCCAGGGCAGCTGCCAGGATTTTGTCCCCCAGCTGACATGGCTGTGGCTGCCTCATTCACTGAAACCTCCTGCTCCCCTCAGGCCTGGGCTGCAGAGACTGAGCTTCTCCCCGGGGCATCAGGAGAGGCCCACATCTCCAGTCCTAGGTGGGAGCACCAGCTGGTGTGCAAGGTGGCCGTGGAAACCACCCCCTTGGCTCCCACAGAGCCCAAGAAAGCCCCTCTCTGCATTCCCAACACAGCCACAGAACCCAGGGCAGGGAGTGGCTCAGGCACAGGGGATAGCAAGCACTGTCACTAGGATCATGCCCAGAAAGAAACCACCACCCTGAAAGCAAACAGGTACAGAGTACCAGAGAGAGGGCTACAACCACCAATGCTGCAGAAAGGCTGTGAGGAGCTTTTTGCTGAGTAAAGCAGAGCCCTGTGACCCCTTGGCCTAGGCAGGCACATGGAGTGTGGGAATTGGGTGCTGGTCCCTGGACACAGCTAGCTCTGCCTGTCCCTCAAGTAGACCCCGGCCCAGCTCCCATCCCATGGGCACTCACCACACCGTTCTCAACACAGAAGCCCAGCTGGTACTTGGAGTCAGGGCGCCGGATGACAGCTGTGGTGACAGGGGGACAGTGCACAATGTTCAGTGTCACTTCGGTCTGGTGCTTCAGTTCCTGGAAGGTGGGATGGAACTTGATCAGATTTTGGACAGCTATTCAGACTGGTTGATGGGCGATGCAGCCACACTGCTCATGTGAGGGCTGAGGATTAGCAACCTGTTTGCAGTGGGGAAACTGCACAAAAGGGATACTGCAAATACAAATCCAGGGACAAGAACTTACAAACCCAGCCCGAGACATCCCTTCCCCTGAGGCTATGCTGTCCTTGCTTTCAGCTCCTTCCCATGCTACTGAGTAGATGATGCAACAGGTTCCCTTCAGGACAGGTGCCTGCCTCCTCCTCCACCCTCCTTTTCAGGCAGGGCACAGCAAGTACAGTCCCCAGTTTTGTCCCTGCCTTCCTCCAAGCACTCTGAGCAGGAACTGTCACAACCTGCAGGACACGTATGACCTCTGCACACCTGCCTCCAAAACAGGGGGCCCCGAGGGAATCCCAGTGTCACAGACACTCCCAAATCATTCAGGCCAGTCTCCATCTCCCTCCTGGGGTGAGGCAGGAGCTCACCCTGCTCTGGCTCACCCGGATGATGCTCTGGCAGGTACCCAGGGGCAGCCCCACCAGGCTGGTCCCGTTGACTGACATGAGGCGGTCCCCAATGCTCAGCTCGCCCGACCGCTCCGCAGGGCCCCCGTGCATCAGGTTGGCGATGACCACGGTGGGCAGGATGGAGCCCCAGCCCGACTCCACAATGGCAATACCCAAGATCTCCCCCTTCTGCTTCTGAATGCACACCTGGGGGGAGAACAGGTGGGTTATGGTCGTTACCTCCACCAGAGTCGTGGAGAACATGTCCCAGCCCCCAGCTGTGCTCACAGCTAGCTGGGACGTGGTCTGGTTTTGTAGGAAGCACCTCAGCTGCACAGGGAGCCATGGAGTGGGTGACACAGAGGTGCCAGTGGGTTCCCCACATTGGCCCCACCCCACAGAGCAGCTCTTACGTCCTTGCAGTTCTCTTGCCGGGAGAAGTGGGTCAGCTCTGCGTTGTACTGCTCCTGGTCCTCCAAGGCACGGCTGTACTGGCGTGGGCTCAGCTCGCTCGGGTCGATGCTGTTGGCCTCCAGGAAGCGCTGGTAGGCCACACCAAATGCCTGCCCAATGGCCCGGGCGATGACCTGGGCCTGGGGAATGACAGGGGCTGTTCAAGGCTGGAGCCAACAGCTACCAGTGCCCTGCAGTGCCCAGCACAGGAACCATCCTTGGGGTCTCCAGGGTGTCCTGGCTCCTTCCCTGCCTGAATGAGCCCCTGTATGGAGGCAACCTTCCCTTCCACTTTGCTTGCTGGGCCTCTGTGTGTCACAGAGGGCTCCTGCCCTCTCCCTTGTGGGGAGGGAGGGGTCTCTGCTGGAGCCCCAGCCCAGAATACCCAGTTATTACAGTGGGATGGGACTCGGGTTCCCAGAGCCACCCACCCATCCCAGGGATCTGTGTGCTGCCTCACATCAGCCGAGTGGAAGACGTGGCAGATCATCTTGTAGAGACGCTTCTCCTCCGCCACCTCTGAGCGCCGCGGCAGCTTCCGGCGTGCCATGAGCACCACAAGGGAGCCGATGTCAGCAATGTAGGAGATGGTCTGAAGGGAGTGATCCATCATGGCCTCCTGGCAAAGGGAACACAGACAAAGAGTTCTGCCTCCTCAGGGCTGTCAGACCACGTGCGCAGCCATGAGCCTGCTGGCACTGCAGGCAGGAAGGGATGTGGTGCAGCTGCCCAGAACATGCTCGGCAGAAACCATGTCTGTGCCAAAAGGTACAAACAGATCCTTCATCAAGGACCCATTTATGTCCCTGGGTACTGCCAGGGGACAGGACAGCTCTTCCCTCTTGCTATAACACAGAAACTAATCCTGAGGCAAAGAGCTCCCCAGATTCTAAGCCTGAGTTCCCCAGAGCTCGGTCTGGGATCCCAGCAGCTCCAAAGGGTGCAGGTCATATGGGAAGTGTTGTGCTGCCACACAGAGAGGTGAGGACAAGACACAGGAATGCTGTGAAGTGACATGTCCCCTCCCAGACATGTGTCCTCATCCATAGGCCATGGACAAGACCCTGGTGGTGTGGGAACAAAGCTTAGATCCTGAGACCAAACAGCAATGTTGAAGCAGCCACAGAGTCATGTGTTACTGCTGCTCCTGCTCACCTGAGTGTCAGCGGTGAGCACCTTGATCCTCTGTGTGGAAACAAACAGATCCACCTCCGTCATGGGCTGGGACTCCCCCTCGGGTGCCTGCAGAATGATGGAGAGGTCACAGGACCCTGCTGGGACCCAACCCCACAGCCAGGTGCCCTCAGGCATATCCTGAGTGCTACCCCATACCCACAGGGGGGGCAAGGTTTGGGGCAGCCATGCTCCCCATCCTTCCTGCACCTTGATCCTGTCCACCGCCTCCTGGGCCTGCACCATGCGAACGCTGGTTGGGGGGTTCCTCTCCGAGGACAACTGCGTGGAGCCCAGGTACTTGGCCCCAAAAATCACACCATCCAGCAAGTCCTCTGGGTCACAAGGGCCTGGAACTGAGGCATTGGGAGGGACTGAGCAGAGGCTGCTCCCCCACCTCTGAAACTGGGGGTACCAAGTCCTGCTGTCTGTTAGCTGCATTTCTACACATGATGAAGCAGCTCAGTGCTTGGTACATGGGCACCTGGCATCACCAGGGGACCAGGGCTGCTTCTCCCTTCCCTTGGGAACACATGTATTCCCTTTCCACCAAGTATACCACCTCCCTGATCTCTGATGCACCTCCATTTCCCCAGCAAAGGCTCAAACAAGCCACGTGGAGCTTGGTGCACCCATTCTGGGTAGGTGCAGAGCTGGCTGTTCCCTCCCTGACTGGGACCCTGTACCACCACCCTTCAGGGGGTTCAGGGTCAGAGCAAGTGGGTCAGGGCTCCTGGATGCTCTTGCTGCTCAAGCACAGAAGCAACTCACCCTCTTTGAAGGCTGGGCAGGATGATGGGGATTCCCTGTTCTGCAAAGCAATGAGAGAGCAAGTGAGGCTGTGGCTGGTACCTCAGGGATTCAGCCTGCCTGGCCCTGGAGCAGTGGGACAGCAAGGGCAGAATGTCCCTGGGGATGGGGGAAATGGGACAGGGTCCCAGGGCTGGACATGGAGGAACAGGATCTTAGGCCTGTGAGGGTGCTAGTGCCGGGTCCTGAGGCTGGATGGGAGGATGGCACAGGATCCCAGGAACAGAGGGGCTGTTTGGACCCACCAGCCTCTGCACCAGGGCACACATGAATCAGCCAGCCATCCAAGCATGCATTTAGGGCCGAAGTTGGTACTGAGGGTCTTGTCTGGGCAATCTTGTAGCACAAGGCCCTGTAAGACCTGAGGAAAGTCATCCCTGGTTCTCCTTTGCCCCCATCCCAGACCCCAGGAGGGATCAGAGCCAAGGGGAATGTCCTGGCTGCTGCTGCCCCATCGCAGCCCAAGGCACAGTGCACTCACAGTTACAGGGCCCTGAGGCAGTTGCTCTGTCCCAGGGGTCAGAGCAGAAGGCAGGGCTGCCCATGCCGGCTCTGGGGAACCTTCCCGAGGACCCTCGCAGACAGAATCGTCCTCGCAAAGCCCCCCTCCATAACACCAACTGCCAGGTTTTTCCTCAAAGCTCTCTGGCCTCCCCAGCCCTTCAGGCTTCTCCACAGTGGCTGGCTCCTCCTGAGCCTGCAGCATCTTCACGTTGGTCCCAGCCAGAACATCGGAGCAGGCCAAGGAGGTCTCGGCACCAGCCTCAGGTAACCCCCCCTCATAGCCCAGGAGGCTCAGCAAGTCCTCCCGGTCAGCCTCGGCAAAGAGCAGCCCGTGGCAGGGCCGGTCGCAGGCAGAGT